CACACACACTGCCTTCATCAGGAGGATGAAGTCCACACACAAACACACACACACACACCCCTCTCTGCTCGTGCAGCTTTGTTGAACACACTAAAGGCCGTGACAGCGAGCGCTGGGCGTCTCCTTCATTTGGATGAAATATGTGAAGGAAGCAAAGAGGAGAATATTGCACTGATTGGGGTTCAACATTAAAGCCTCTCGATGAGTCGATCACTGATGTAAGGCGCACACAGATTACGTTCAAAACGTGGTCATTTCAGTGAGGAGCCCCCCCCCTCCAAAAGCACTCATATTACATGTGCAGCCACCCGAGCGTGCAAATTCAATTCGCCCTAATAGGCCACTACCAACAGTGCATCACACGTGCCATTCAGTTTAACTGCAACTGCTCCCAATTCAATTAGCTGCAGAGAAAGTAAAATAGGCTGTTTAGCACGCAGACACGCGTGTATCCACGTTCCCACGCGGCGTTAGAGCCAAACTACAGTGGGACGTGAAAGAAAGGCGGGTGTGTCAGGCTGCGTGAGTGACAGACCTGCGTTAGCAGCAGCGTTTTTCCACCGTGGACGTGGCGCCACAGCGTTTCAAGTGTAGCACTAAGTGCCCCGTTATCGCAGCCGCGGCCCGTAATGAGAGCGGCGACATATGTCCGGCCCCCCTCCCGATAAGCCCGCGCGCTCAGATGCCCCCCCCGCTTTTATTTTGCACGTGAAACCTGCGAACTGCCACCCAGCAAAATACTGTGGCACTTACTTAGTGACATTTACCTTGCTCCACACACGGTGGGGGGGGGGGGCAATAACAATCAGCGTGCATTTAATTTAAGAGAAGAAAAAAACATCCTCACTTAGAATGACACAGGCACTGAGAGATATAGCTGTGTGCGTGTGTGTGCGTGTGTGTGTGCGTGTGTATGTGTGCGTGTGTGTGTGTGTGGTGTGTGCGTGTGCGTGGCGTGTGTGCGTGGCGTGGCGTGTGTGAGGAGCTATAACAGTCGTGCCGGCAGACTTCCGCAGTGCAGCATTAATGCTAATCAAAAGAGCTGAGAAAGCAGCGGTGGTCTGTAAAAACAGATTTTCCCTTTTTTGTCTTTTCATTTCTGGAGGGATTCGCTCTTCTCCCCCACTCCTCACCCCTCACCCCTCCTCCCTCACAGGGATTTATCCTGGGAAAATAACATTTCTGGGAATTGAATCTGACCCTGAATTTAGGAGAGGCACGCTGTCATGTCATCTTTGTTTCTTTAACTGTGGGATAAATAATGAAAGTTAAGTTGGAGTAATTGATTTCTCTTCAGTCCACTCAACTGAATAATCTGCAAGGGAAACAACCACTAAGCTATTCATTAGAAGATTTGCCAACATGCAACTAATTTCAAGCTTACTCTCCAAACATGCTGAAAAGAATACAAACGGTTGTGTTAAAGCTCGCTTAATCTAGAATCCCTTTGTGTTTACGGGCTGGGAAAATACGTCACTTTGAGCCTGGAAGTGGCAGAAAACGCTTTTCTCTGGAAACTGGAAGAAATAAGAAGAGTTTGAAAGGAAGAATGCCAGCACAACGTGTTTAACAGGTCTGGGGGAATAATTATTGTGACTTCATGAAGTGAATGAAAACTACTGATTGTTCTGAAATGAATGACGTGATCAAAGGTAATGATTTAATAAAGCGTTAGTCTGGAATTTACAAAAAACGAATCAATATTTACACGAAGAACTAAGAAAAGGTAAAGAAACAAGAAAAAGAGGAGTTTTCTTTAACCCTGCGACGTCCTTTCATTCTGACTGACGCTGGACAGCTGAGTGAGGACACAGTACTGAATCATCACGTTAGCCCGACTCGTACCTAGACGCAGGAGTAACCTGAAGCAGACGCTGCACAGACACAGACTAAGAAATAAATACATGTTATTGGACTGAAGCTGAAAAAGCTCCAGCACAGACACAGCTTCAAGGTCAGACGCTCCAGCTGTGGCTCTGTCTGCTGCATCCAAGAGATCCAGCACCTGCGAGACGTCAGCCGTGGTCTTAGATCGTCCAAGCGGCTGCGCCCCCAACTGCAGTGAGTCAGGAAAATGTGTTTCCTATAAAGAAAGAAGCCAAAGCCCAACACCGTGTGTGGAGCAGGTTATAAAAACATGCTGTAAAGCTGACGTTTCACCACGACAGTGGAGACTCTCAGCTGCCTTCAGACCAACTTTATGTACAGAATTACGAGTAATTAAGTAATCTACTGCATTACTTAATTACTCGTAATTCTGTACACTACTTGTTACATTACTTTGGGGTTGTAAAATGACCTTAATCACATGACTAGTTAACATTAGAAACTTAGGCTACTGCTCCATGCACCCACTCAAAGCTCTGTCCCTGAGTGTTTTCAGACCTCCTGCACGCAAACAACCCAAATGTGCAGGAGCACACTTTAACTGTCACGTCTTATATTACTACATTACTGGAAAATGTAATGTGATTACGTTACTTTGGAATGCATTACAACCAGCACTGGTCTAGGCTTCATACAACCAGTAGATGACCTGCTCTACTGCCTGAGCTACAGCACCACCAAGGTGAATTCATGCACCGACTGCATCGGTTCCTGAGTCGGTTCCTGAGGTCTTGTTCTACTTTAAATCATTGCAGTGGATTCACAGTCGGGACTGTGCCTTCCTAATTACACTGAGTGAACGACACATCCGCCACTTGGGTTTGTACAGTGAAATCTGACAGTTTGTTCTTGTTTACCACTCCGACAGCAGTACTGCTTTATCCACTTAGAGCATTTCAAAGGAGCACGCAGGCCCCGAGGGTGCAATAAAAAAGGCTTTAAATAGTCTTCAGCGCTGGTCCTCGGGGAATCGCCTCTCGCCTTAAAAGACCTAATTTAATAAATTTGCTCTTTAGGCATTTGTCTTTTCCATTTGCATCGTCTGATTATGGATTCGTTCGCACGCAGCCTTTTGGTCTAAATATTGCCCCTCTTAGCTAATGCTTAGCCATACATATTTTATTATTTGAGGAGGACCACCTACATTCGTTTCTATTGCAGCCCGCTTCATTAGCACCTCAGAGATAATACGGCGGCTGTATGCTTAACGTAAGCGCTACTAAGTCTCTAATTTTCCACAAATAATTCCCCTTGATCTCGAGTGAAATTTGTGCCGGGGGGCTGGGTGGGTGGAGAGCAGCGTGCTTTAACATGGCTTGGTCCAAGTAAAGTGAGTATGTACATAAAATGAATTATAAATGGCACACTGTGTTTCAAGTGTGGCTGCGACAGAAAGTCAGACTTTATCTCACTGAAGGCAGAGAGGAGCGTCGCTAAGAAAGGAAATACTTTTACTGCCTGCGTGAGCGACTGTGATGTGTGTGTGCACGATGATGTGCATACAGATGTTTTTGCATTTTTAGTATTTAGTCACGGACGATCTGATATCCTCGTGTCGGCGTTGTTCCCACATCATCATAATTAATGTTTTTCCAGGGTCCACATTACAAGTGACCAATCACCTTCTTGTGACGTCATACTTCTGCGACTTCGAAAAATACCCGCCTTCAAAAACAAATGTTCTTCGAGAAACCGCCTTTTGTCTGCCAATCCAGCAATTTGAATTCCACTCAAGATACTTTTCTTTAATAAACAGTAAGCATTATACATATTTTTCCTTGAAATGGCTGAAATGGACAGCTGTTTGTTTGCTAGTGATAGGCTACTTGCGAACCAGTGTTCTCCAGACAGAGAATTGCGTGTCAATGTCCCAGGGACAACAATTACACGGTGTCCCTGCAATTTTGCCTGACCCAACCCCCCGGGCCACGAAACACCAAAAAAGTTGGGGAACGCTGGTCTAGAGAACACTGGTTAGCTAATGCTGTCGTCAAGTAGCCTATCACTAGCAAACAAACACCAAGCCAAGTGAGGAACATATGTATAATGCTTACCGTTTAAAAAGTATCCTAAAAGGACTTCAAATTCGGCGGACAGGCGGCGGTTTCTCGCAAGTGAAGCGGAGCGCTGGATTGACAGCCAGAGGCGGGCACAAGTGCAGAAAATTTGTTTTAAGGTGGGTATTTCGAAGTCGCAGGAGTATGACGTCACAAGAAGGTGATTGGTCACTTGCGATGTTGAACTTGGAACAACATTTATTATGATGATGTGGGAACAACGCCGACACGAGGATATCAGATCGTCCTTTAGTCAGAATGAGACGTATTCAAAAATCATAATGGCAACAAGATAAACCGAGTGTGAACGTCTTGACTGCAGACGGCTCTCACACACAGCGCCGAGCTTCTGACCAAACGCTTCCTAACAAGTGTTATAAGAGTGAGGAGCGCACAGCTGTGTCACATGACCTGGTCACGTACTTATTAAAAACTGAAAACACAAATAAAAGCTCTGAACACGGAGCGTTACTGTACAGTGGGTCCAGAAGCTGCATTAGCTCTGCTGCTAGCAGTCGCTGCTGCCCGATGTGACCTCTGACCTTGAGTTCAGACTCAAACTCACTTTCAGTAGCTGCATCTGTGGAGTGAATTTTGAACGTAGCCTAATTCTTGAGTTCTTGGATTTTGAAAACCTTGACCCCTGACCTTGAAGACGAGGTGACTGACATTTAAACTTCTCCCAGACTTTTGCACCTGTGGTGTTCATTTGAAAATCCCAGACCTCTGACCTTTAAGTCACTGAGATTCGAACTCATCTGAAAATTCTGATGGACGTACCTACGATGTCAGTTTTTAAATCTATGTTAACGCAAACTTGGGTTAGCATGCCGCGCACCTGCCAAAGCCAGCAGATTAGCAAACACTGCTTTCTGGATTCATTTAGAGCCTCTTTAATGATCTGAACAGCTGCTCCACACTAATGTTAGTGGGAGCTAATTTGATTATATCAGATCTGGACTTGGTGGAGTGCTTAACATCTTCATGTTGTAGAAAGATGCACTCTCACACCTTTAATGAATGACAGACATTATTCCAACAGGAGTCATCTTCGCTGAGAAAGAATATTTATTTCCTTATTGGAGATCATTTCGTCTTAAGTACGGCCCACTCCTCAAGCCGTCCCCTTCTTGCTGTGAGTCTGTCCAATCCTAACCTGAGTTTGTTTCCCAGCTTGTCGGTCATCTCGGTGCAAACTCCTCAGACTTCTCCCAAATGAAGTCTTTTCCTTTGCTCCTTTTTCACCTGGAAACCGAGCTGCTGCTTCCATTGTCACTAAACATATGTGGGCTTGTGTTGCCATCCCTCCCGAGCAGGTCAGATCTGTGATGACGGTAACAGTTGAAAAAACTTTTAGAGGCTTTTTTTATTATTTGCATCAAATATCTGCTCTTGGTGCTGGAACAGCCTATCCTGGACAAATCGACATTCTTTTGAAATCTATGCCATGTGTAGATCATCTCCCCTGTAGGATGATTTATTTTTAATAATTTAGAGCTCTGTTCAAAACGTCTGCCAGACACAGCAGGAGGCTGAAGCTCTGGAAGCTCCTGAATCAGGAGTGTTTACTTTTTCCCTCTGACTGATGTTTTTTATTTCAATTATAGGAATTATTGTAAAAGAGGCCAATTTTATGTATTATATCTTTGAATACATAACCTTTATCAGTAGCAGTGTTTCAAAGAGGATTACACTGGTGGGATGTGCTGATGTTTTCCACGCTACTGTATTCCTGATAAGAGAGCGACGACAGGCTGATGTCAGGTTAGAAGTTAGTACCACAGGTACACTGCTGCTAAATGTGCATGAGGAGTGTGTTGTTGTCATTGTGTACTCGCACAGCACGCACAGTAACGCAGGAGGCTGTCAGGGCCTGTCCTGTCGCACGGTTTAGTGTTACAGTAACAACATCATCAACACAAAACTGCTCTGTTTGAACTTCACAACACGATGAAACAAACACTCCCTGCTGCCATGACACGGTGCATGCAACCAGTGTGCAAGCGCACAGTCTCCACTGTCCAACCAAATCTCACAGTTCACTGGGGTTTCAAAGGCATTCATGGGTCAAGCAGCTTTTCTCACAACAACAGGATCAAGTCTATTTCTTTCTAAATGTCAGCACTGAGTCACTGTCCAGTAAGAGTTTAAAGTTGGGTCAATGCTTATTACATCCCTGCTGAATTTATCTGCTAGCACACAACAAATAAACCGTCTCTACATTTTATGGCAGTTGGATTTTAATGGATCGATATCAACAAAAATCCAAAATAAAAACACGTAAAAGCGACGTCAGTAATTGTGACTGGCTGTGTCCATGTGGGCACACATGTGGGACTCCTTGGTCTCAGTGTTTTATGATACACACTTGTTCACAGGATCCATTTCTTCTGTTCCAACCTCTCCACCACCATGGACAAGAACCAACGAGTTGTTCGAACATCCAGACTGTAGACAAGGCTGTGATGGCCCACAGCAACAAGCTTACTGAGAATTATTTGGAAATGGAAATGGCATGCGGCCGCAGGATCTTCCTCATCAGGTGAAGATGATCATGAGAAAGGTGGCGGATGAGCCTAAAACGACTTGGTGGTCTGAAGGCAGTTGGACCACAGTCTTAAGCCAGTAAACATCTGAGTGTAATAAAACCATCTGGAGCCCTGGGCATGAACACAGCCGGCTGAGTTTGGAGGAACAGAAATGCCGAGCATGACCCAAACAGCACCGCTGCCCCCAGGAAAGCACAAAGGTCCAAACATTATTTCTGTTTCTCTGCAAAGGTTACAGGACAACCTCACACTGAAGGGCCAGTGGACTTCCACTGAGATGGGTTGTGGATGATAACCGCCCACGACATACGACCAAGCCAACAAGACTATGGCTACGTCACAGAGTAGCCTCGCCAGGATCCAGACCGACAGAAAACCTGTGGAGGGAGCTGAAGCTCCAAGTGGCAGCCAAGAAACCTGAAGGATTGTTTCTGTAAAATCCCTCCTGAGAGGTTCGTGTGCATATCTGTTGCCAACTACAAGAAAAGGCTTACAGCTGTGCATGTAAGGGTTTCTCCACCAAGTACTCACTCATACTTTGCTAGGGGACTAAATATTTACTTCATGTAATGACATGCAAATCCCATTTCTATAATTCTAACTGTTATGTAAAGCGTTTTTGGTTGATATTCTCTCTCCATCCACTAAAATGAAACTAGAAATGACAGCCTGTTCCCCCCACTGTGTGCTTCTAAGATGCCAGAGGTGCACTGTGGACCCGTCTATAACAGGCAAACTGCTTTTTCAAGAATTTCTAAAAATAGAAGAGAGGTTAGAGAGCGGTCTGTGATTAGCCACCACAGCAGGATCAAGTCATGGTTTAATCATTGCCACCTTAAAAACCTCTGGGATGGGATTTCTATCAGAATCATCACTGTTAGAGTGACTGTTGGTACTGCACGTACTAGTGTCAGTGTCTTTTCCTTCAGTATTAACTTAGACACGGGGCCGTACACTCTTTCTACCTGTGCACGTTTTATTTACAGGTGTTAATTACTTGCATTCATACTAGCTTGAGCTTCTAACCTGCTCTTAGCCTCTTGTTTAGAGTGGAGATGCTGTCAGTGCTGTGTCGCAATAAGCCTGATTGAGGTTGATGGAACCGAATCATTTCAATTAAGCGCAGGACTTCAGTATGTGTGTGCACAGGCTGCAGGGAGCGTGATACGATGCTCTGACATCATACCTGAGAGTGCCTTTGTTTGGATAAAATGGCTGTGACAGCGTCTGAGGCTTGAACTGTACCAGGTCACAGTTGATATTGATCCTTTCTGCAGAGCCGACATATCATTGCATGCTACGCTTATTTTATCAGCAGAACTGCTGATGTTGCATAGAAGAACAAGGTTACACACGCTGCTTTTAAAGCAATATTTCACTTTGTTGGTTTAAGATACGCGGCTCTGTGGCCGAGCTTTGAATTCAGATGTTTTCTAATGTTGCTCAGGTACAAATATGTTCATACTGCAGGAACTGCCCTTGTTTCTGAAAACTACTCATTTTGTTTAATGCAGCCAACAGTTTTAACACACATTACAACAGGTCCCTCACAGAGTTCGCTGTGAGGCTCATAAAGGAAAGAAACCACTGTAAATATGACTTCCCCTGGGCGGCTGACAACATAAACACATACAGGATGTATCACATCGCTCTGGACCAAAATAAGGACAAACGCTCACAGAGTCTCTCACCTTTGCAGCGTTTAGGAAATGATCACAAGTTCACCTCTGAATATTTCCACCACAAACATACGACCTGCCTTTCACACGTCACACCTGCCTTCGGTGAAGTTTACTGATAAACGTGTGACTGCACCACCAGCTTCTTAGAGAACAGTTAATACGACAAAAACAAATTGAATGTATATAAAATACAACACTACTCCCTTTAAAGTAAATATTGCACAGAGGCTTGCACTGAGTGCTGGTTGTGTTTTTACATGTAAAAGCAACCTGGCAGAAGTATGCATACACGTAGATTTCCAACAGTTCTCAGTAACCTGGAAGAACAAAACTCATTTTAACTGCAATTTAATTAAAACCCCAGAAGAGCTAAAAATTGATTTCTGTCAAACTGCAGTTAAACAAACTGATTTTGAAATCTGGGACAAAAATCTTTGCGTAGCCAAACGACAATAATTCATTTAAATGTGTCGACTGGTTTTCTGGCTCTAGTTCACACATGATATTCTGACTCGATATGGAAATCAGTTTTTGATTTCACAAGTCAGTATGATGTTGTTCATTAGTGTATAAGGCCACTCGTTAACAGGGCACGCTGGCTTCACTGACACTTTAGAGTGTCTGCAGGGCTTGACCAGGAGCCGGGGTGTCAAAGATAAGATAAGATAAGATCTTTATTAGTCCCACATGTGAGAAATTTGTTTGGTCACGGCAGAAAGTGGACAGTTAAAGTTAAGAGCAGCAAAAATCAAGAAAAACAATAGAATAGAATAAAACAGACAGACAGAACCAAGAAAGACTCGTGTCTGCTGCACTTTGACTGAATCCATCAGGAGCTGACGTGAGGCTGCATACCTGGAGCTGCTGCAGGATGCGCTCCCTGGGCTGCACCTGATGTCTGCTGCAGCTGTCCTGATAGGCCAACGACACCTCTGTGAAGGTGAGTCTGCTGTCAGCTGAAACAGGAGAATCTGCTCATTCACTGCTTTAATGTCTCTGCATTCAGTGAGCAAAAGCAACCATTCAAAAGTACTTAAGGTAAGTGTGTGTGTGTGTGTGTGTGTGTGTGTGTGTGTGTGTGTGTGTGTGTGTGTGTGTGTGTGTGTGTGTGTGTGTACTGCAGGGAACTGTCAGTGAGAAGGACATAGATGTCAGTCTCTGAATGATCAATCAACCAATCACGTATCTTAATGCATCAGGCACAGCTTTATATCCAGCTGACGTGAGAGACAACATTTGATTCTTCACTGAGGTCTGAGTGTGCACAGGTGATCCCTGTGGATAGTGTGCACAGGTGATCCCTGTGGATAGTGTGCACAGGTGATCCCCTAATGTGGATGCTCCAAGTATAGGTCAGTCAAAACTACTGTGTGGAGTCCAGAGGAAATATGGAGGAACATGAACACAGAAAGTCTCCATTAAAATGGGTTCAAAATAATGATAAATAAAGAAAAAAGCAGGTGTTACTAATGCTTGTCTTCACGGGAGCAAACAAAGGCATGTAGGAAAATATTCAAATATTATTTTCCTGCAAAATCCCTCAAATTATTTTTGTTATAATCCCTAAAAATGCTTGTTATAAATAATACATGAGTTGGCTGGATTTTAGTTCAGCTTTTCTGCTACATGTTTGATGCTTTTTCAAGGACAGAATAAGAGTAACGTGCTAACATGATGTAAGGTGCATCTTTTTAACAAATACATTCAAATCGTTGATTCAAAATCTCAAATATAAATATAAAATATGTAAAATTCTTTAATTGACTTATTTTAGTGAAATCATGGATTGATCACGACCTTTAGATATTAAGATGCTAAAATAACATGTAGTGGCCATTTTTAATGAGATGTTAAGAGCTTAAATCAGGTATAGAAGTGAGAGCTCCACTTCCACCATCACTGAACGTCATCCATGACACTTAAACAGCAGCTCACCCAGTTTCTCAGCGTTCCCATGCTCAGCAAAGCTGGACACTAGCTGTTCGTCCGGAGGGAAGCACACATGCTTTCCTCCTTTACTTCTCTTTGATTTCCTTCTGGGCTGTCCTGAGCTGTCATCGTTCTGCTCATCATCACTGCAGTTGGTCATCGCCTGTCTTTACTTTAGGACTGCAGCACGGAGCGCTCTATTGTAATAGAAGGCCAATGGTTAGTCAGGATGGGAACTCCAGCGCCGGTCACGTTACATGCTATCCATGGAGCTGCGACAGCAGCTACTGAAGTACTTCTGGTAACATAAAAGAGTGAAGTAGTGACGACGTGCCCTCGTGAATGTGAAACGTCTTCAGTCTGTGGCGACACTGAAGAACCAATATCTTATTCATGAGCTGTGCACTGTTACCCAATATGTTTGGATCAAATGACACACTGAAAACAGGTAAGGCTCTGCACATTTACATACTTATTCAGATTCATTTACAAAATTCAGGGCTGTTCTGGATAAGACAAACACAGGTAAGTTACCGAGGTAACCACGTTCGATCAAATATTCTTAGTTATCCAAATACTTTGGTTGAGTTTCCCACTGAAGTGTCTGTCTCTGCAAGCTGCCTGACAATGTCAAAAAAGACAGAATGAAACAGACAAAATACAGAAGCAGCAGTTTGTGGAGACAGTTCAGAGACAACAGATCACAGCCAACCTGACACAACACACTGCAACAGCCACTGAAGCACGGCCGACCTTCGTCTCTGCAGCAGCCCCCACCAAGCTTCTCTAATGATGGTTTTTCAAGGGTTACAGTTACAAGAACTTTTCATTGGAGTAATTTGTTTCTTACAGAGAACATTTCTTAGAAACACACAAACACGCAAATGAACAGCTAAAGTGCAGCAGCCACTGTAATTATTGTGCTAAGTACAGTAAAGTGTGACAGAGCACAACTGTAGAACAGGCCAACTACAATGACCTCACCCTAAACACCAACAAAACAAGAAAGGATGCCCCCCCTCCATAAAAGTGACTTTGTGGAGAGGGTATCCTCTATTAAGTTCCTCGGCACCCACATTTCTGAGGACCTATCTTGGACCACAAACACATCAGCCCTGGTGAAGAAAGCCCAGCAGCGCCTCCACTTCCTGGGGGTTCTGAGATGGTACAGGCTGCAGTCTGACCTCCTAGTGTCCTACTGTGCCACCTGTGTGGTACACTGGTTGCACAACAGCGGACAAGAAGAGACTACAGAGGGTCATAAGAACTGTAGAGAAGGTGATTGGCGGTACACTCTCCTACCTGCACTTAATTTCCAGCTCAAGATGTCTCTCCAGAGCCAGAGCAATTATAAAGGAAAACCTCCATCCTAACCACCACCTCTTCAACATCCTGCCCACTGGAAAAAGGTTCAGACCCATCAGGTGCAAAACCAACAGACTAAAGAACAGCTTCTTCCCAGGAAGGGACCGATCCCCTCCAACTACCAACCAGTAACCTGCCTCAGCATCACATGGAAGCTCCTGTCAGGCATCATAGAGGCTAAGATGAACAGACACATGAGCGGGGCACAGAAAGGGATGGGCAAGAATACCAGAGGAGCAAAACACCAGCCTAGACCTATACAACCTCAACAGGACCCTGAGAGCCTTCATCGGGAACTCAATGGGGATGTGACAACACTAGAGGCCGACTTCAAGCCCATAGCAGTTAGGACTGCTGCACTTCTCCACACAGGGCAGTAGCAGCAGTAGCTTCTTCAGCCTGTGAGCACTTGTTACTAGTTGTTGCCATTACCACTGTTGACGATGCAGCAGCCTCGACAGATAACAAGTCACTTAATTAGACACATTTTGCTGCATCTTTTTGTAATTTTGTCTTCTCTCTCAGCTTTTTAGTGCCACCTCTTCATTTTTGTTTGTTCATCATTATCACCCACTTCTTCCACAGTAAACTCTGCTATACAGGCACATAGTGAAAGTAGGGGAGAGGCAAGGGCGTAGATTTGGACACGTCCCCACCAATATCCAGCGGTTATTGTCCCCAGCAACATTTCGATCTCTTCGAGTAAAGACAAACAAACCTTATAGAAAGAAAAAACGATCTGTCAGCGTCTCATTCACCCAGCGTGCAGAAAGAGTTAAATTACGTCCTCTACTGGAGTCCTACGTCATGTGACAAATATGGCCAATGTGATTGGCTGAGTCTTTCAGGGAGCTCTGTTCAGTTTCAGCAGCGGTAAGCCTGCGCTGCGAGGAGGAGGAGAGGAGGACGGCAGCAAAGAGGAAGAACCTGGATATAAGAAAGTGTTTTTCATATAAACCTGTGAGTCACTTAACGCATGTGTCCGTCACAGTAACGTTACAGGCTATGCTAGGCTTTGGCCCACATCAGTCTAAGTATGTACCCATTAATACCGTGTTTGGGAAACTACCTGCACAGCAGGCAGCACTGTTAGTTCTCTCAGTCTCAGAGCAGCGTTTCTCATTTTGATTGAAGCTGTCAGAGAAACTGTTACAGAGGCTGTTAGAATGTCTAACGTCAAAATGTTGGTGACACAATAATTTCATCCTAATGGCACTGACATGTTCATAGGGTTCATTTTTGAGACAATATATCATGAGGTAGTCGCGATTTTGCACCTTGTAGTGCAGTTTGCACAGTTTTAAAATGCACTCAGCCTACAAACATCACTGACGAGTCAAGATCTGCACAAAGTGACAGAAACACTGAAGCAGCTGCACGTTTTATTCTTATTGTCATGTATGTCCTGTTTGTCAGGTGACAGAAGAACCAACACAGAGCTCAGAGAGTGATGGTGACACAAGGTCACAGGTGAAACTGGAGGATGACCTGGTGGTTCATGACTGTATTTGAAGCACATGTGTGACTGCATGTATGTGGAGTGTCTCACTGTTATTCATCAGGTGACAGAGGCAGCTCTGCCATGTTGTAGCTCAGAGGTGAAGAGGCGAGCTCACAGGTGACTGACTGATGAGTTGGTGCTATAGATTAACGAGAGGAGAAAGCTTGTGTTTGGCTCCTTCACATAGTGGACATTGAGTTGTTGTGTGGGGCATGTAGTCCATGTCTGTTGCTGTAACAGTAGTTCATGTTTAGAATGAAAAATCCCAGCTCACTGATTTGATCGGGGCAGCAGTGCCTAAAATGTTGCTGAGAGATCTTTTACTTTGTGGTAATCTTAGATGAGTAGTTTTATGGACAAAACCCAGCAGGTCACTCAGTGTTCCCTTAGCACCAAAGTATAACATGTTGGTGTACTATAACTGAAGTAATGTTGTTAAGTCCTTAAAGTCATATTCATTTATTGTCATGACTGTATTTGAAGCTGTTTTTATTTTTGTATGATACCTGATTTATATGGAATATGGCTGAAGTAAACTAAAGCCTGAAATACTCAGTCATTTGTTTAATAGTAATTTAACATTATATAATTCACATATAAAACTATGAATTGTAATTTTAAATGGTTTAAAAGCAGGTAGAATAGCATATGTAGGCAAGTATAATTACTTCTTTTTTAATTTTTTATCAAGAAGCAAAGACAAAAAGGAAAAAAAAGAAACAGGACAGGGTTCGGTGGCTGAATCATCCGTCCCCACCGATGCCAAAACCAAATCTACGCCCTTGGGGAGAGGTATTAAGACTTTTGATTGGGCAATACAGTGACAGTAGTGAAATTAATCAATGCTCTTCTTAACCTAGAAAATAAGACTTTCCCCTTCTGTTTCTCTCAGGTGCCTTATAAGATGAAGCAGTACTGGTGTGGCTGGATGGGTGGAAAACACATCATTATGGTGCATGGAGACAAAAGCATATATATTTAATCACTTAGGTGCAAATATACACAATCTGAACTATGAACAGCGCGGACTGTGTTTTACTCTGATATATTTGCACTGCCTACAAACTGGGTAAAATGTTTTCATTATTATAAAGACAAAAAGTGACTTTGGATGACCTTTTACTGACTTAAGCAATCACATGGTTCTACACCTCAGGGAGTTATTGACTGCAAAGTATTACGCACAAGCCCTAACATTAAATGTTGTTGTTCTTTCCAAAATTAAATAAATTTACAGAATCAAACACAGATTTGGACTTAACTAAATAGCACAATGGGACATATGGTTTGATAATAAAACAATAAGAAATTAATAACACAGCTCTGATAGTTGATCACGTACTGAAGACCTGCCCCATGGAGGATAAGCAGCAGATAATGGATGGATGATGGTTCCACATTAAAAAAAAGGCATTTTGTGTAAACTTTCTGCTTTATATTTACAGGACAGTCTGAGCTCATATTTCTTTATTAGAACTGAGCCCACAGGAGTCATGTTGGCAGGTTTCAGCAGCAGAAATGCAGAAAATAGAGTTGCTGTTGAAACTGCACTTCTTCTTATATTAAGACATGTTTAAAATATATTTACATCTTTCATATATTAAGAGATCCCGGGGATTATGCGTATTTAAACTTCTTCACGCTAACAGAAAGGACTCGTCGCTGTTCACGCAGTAGTGAAGCAGCGACTTCCCCCAATAAAATAGCGCGGTACGAGGACGTCACTTCCTGACCGGTAGTTTTGCGGGAAGTTTGGTCCGTGTACAGTTTCTCCTACAGGGAAGCATAAACAACGAAGCGACGGTATGTTTCTGCCATACACGCATATATGTGTACGCTAACGGAACCAACCACAGCGACTCGGGAGCGTGTGCTGTCGGACGGCGTCATGTAGCGGGTCATGTAGGCGCTAATGTGACACACGGTTACTCACAAAACCGCGCAGTTAGCATGAGAGCTAACGAGCCTCGAAAGAACAACTCAAGGTGCGGGATTCGCACGACGCCATCGCTTTACTGTTTCTCTTTCTGTTGGTTTGAATGCTAACAGGCGGTTCGTGTTGGGGAAATGTCTCGTATAGGCTGCACACATTAGCAGGTGATGGGGAACTCAGGATGTGGTTAGCTAACTTCGGTACAAAAACATGGTTCTGATGTGACCCGAAAAGTACAAGTTTCCATTTCTTGTTGTGTTTACAACGATGTTTAGCTTAGTTTTGTTTTGGAGCTCTGCTTCCATCACGATGGAGCAGCACTAACGACCACCGTGGCTGTGTGTGTGTTAGATGCCCCCTAAAGCCAAGGCGGCAGGCAGAGGCAGAGCCCCTGCCAAGAGGAAACTGGCAGAGGAGTTTCCTCCTGGAGAAGTGCTGAAGGACACCATGAAGAAGGAATGGAAGCTGGGGGCTCCGATCGGTCAGGGGGGCTTTGGGGTCATATACTTGGGTAAGAAAGACGATGTTATTTGTATGTTAGTTCTAGTTAACATCCGAGTTTGAGTTGCAAACTTTATATTGAATAAAAGTGAATAAAGATTTTGAGCATGTGTCAACCAAATACTGTAAATAATGAACATATTCCCTCTCATGTTTTCCCCAGCCGAGGAAAATTCTGCAAACCCCGTGGGTGCTGATGCTCGCTATGTCATCAAAGTGGTAGGACTAAGTTTGTTCCAGTCCAGGCATTATTACTCGTCACATACGTTTGTCTTTACTCACAGAAAAGTAGCTACCAAAGCCAACTCAACCTTTGTATTTTATGACATATCAATTTCTATTCTATAACACTTCCACTTTAGTTAAGCCCATCAAGAGTTAAGACTTAATTGGCAACATAAGTTCATTGGATTAAGTCCAGAAATAATTCACATACTGACAGGACTTGTTTGACTTGTTTGACTTGCTTTTCTGCTCTAATGTGCAGACTCATCAGTCTCTCCCATTTGACTCTGAGAATCGTCCGATTTATTTGTTCACTAACTGCAGCGATGCAGCCAGCACAGGCCTTGACCCTGGGCCTGTCAGATGGCTCTGTCCAGTTGCTGGTCACTGAAGTGTCACGAGAAGTGATCACAGTGCAAACGTTGCAGCCAATAAGGCGCTTTCTGCACTGTGACCATTTCCCTGTTTGTATTCTTAAGGAGGAGAAACGGGGAGAAAAAGCCCGGGGATGCCACATCACCCAAGATCTGAACTGAAAATCAGTGGCAACGTTTGAATCCAAATTTTACATTTTTGGTTCAAATCAATGTCGAGATGTGAGGATGTATAGCAGCGAGCGTGGCCTGAAGAAAAGCGTCGTCAGATCCACTGTGCTGCAGCCCACTGCAGGCTCACATCTGCATGCTGCAGGCTCACATCTGCACGCTGCAGGCTCACATCTGCACGCTGCAGGTGTTGCTGTTAAAAAGTGACATGATGGCTGTTGTGGGCCAAATGTAAAGCTCTACCTGTACTGTGTTTATTCCAACTTTAACTCTAATGATTTGTGCTGTCGCTGTCTGAAACAAACTGTGGAAGCTATTCAACATTTTTATTCAACATTTTAAATATTTTTATTGAAACTGCAGCACGACCGATTGCTGGGGCTCATTCCCAGCACGGACCTGCTCCTAACTGTCAGAGATGTAACAGTCTGTGAACCTGGATCTAAACACACAGACACACAACCAATTTTTGCAATTTTGTTTGTTTGTTTTTTAAATGTTTAAACGGAAGAGAAGGAGGCGGCCTGCCGTGCTGTGAGCTGTACTCTGGATTGTTTCTTTTTTTCTGCCTGTGAAGGGTGGAAACACAAAAGCCCAGTGTGCTGTTGTGGGTCTGCAGACCTAATGTACCTGTTGATCTGTCCACAGGAGCCTATTGACAATGGACCGCTTTTCTGCGAGCTCGCGTTTTACATGAGAGCTGCCAAGCCGGATCTCAGTGAGTCACATGATCAGACACTATAAACACACACGCACTGTCAGCGAGCCAAAGTTAGCCCTGCGATCATAACACAAGAGTCTCACCAGCAGGGCAAACAAATAAAAAGAGAGGCAAGTTTCTTAATTAAAAGATGGTGTTGCAGCCGAGGCTCAGAGGAGCCCTACAAAGGAAAGGAAGCGTTTGGTGGCAGCGCCGCCGGCCCTCGGGCCACCGCTTTGCATTTTATATAATAACAATCCAAATGTCAGTCTCCCCTGACGATTAACTGTTATATGACTAAGGAACCAAAGCCTCATATTTTATTCATGCTGGAGTCTCACGTTGTTGGTAAATATTTGTCCCAGCAGCAGATTAGCTCGCGGCCATATTGGCCACTTTCCCCCACTGATTTATACTCTTATTACTTGGAGTCTCACATCCATCACCCACTTAAACCAGCACCAGGCTTCACAGAGTTTACTTCCTGTGTTGTTGATTTCATGTATGCACACATTAAAAGCTCATGTACGTGTCTGATACGTTTACTCTTGCCCTGCAGTTCAGAGCTGGATGAAGTCCAGGAAGCTGAAGAACCTGGGCGTGCCCCGGTACTGGGGCTCGGGTCGACATGAGAGAGGGGGTCAAAGGTAAGGGTGGGAGTGCTGGGGACGAGTCTCAGGTTGTAATGATGCAGCCCGTCTCTCCTCCATCTGTGTGACGTGCAGTCGTTCAGGTTCAGCAGTTATATTTGGTGCACGCAGCTCGAGCTGTGCATCAACTCTGTTTGACTTTTCCTCCATGGTGTTTGCATGTTGCACACTGGATGGAGGCACACACAGATTTAAAGCAGAGGTGGGCATGATTACGCTGATTAGAGCTTGTGTTTTCCCAGCTCAGGTCTCTGCCTTCTATAGCAGACCTCACTCTGATCCATTCAGTGGATTACTTTGGCACCGCCTGATACCATGTAGTGGATCTCAGTAGTAGCACTTGTTACTGGTTTCATAAGGGCCCAGTGGCCTGATAAGGCATCAGCTTTGGTCCCGCCTGGGTCACATAGCACTATCCTCAGCCCTTCCATCACCTCTCCTGACCTCCTCTGTGCACTTATAGTAACTCAGATATTTAAGCTAATCTCCCTGTTTACACCTTTTACAACTCAGTTTTTCATATTTTATTATTTTTTTTACTGTGTTAATGTCTTGAAAGCTCGATGAAAGAAAACACCAAATAAAAAGTAAAGTGAAACAGCTGCGTTCTCCTCACAGTAACAGGTAAAGCTGCAGCCTTTCTGACGCTCTGCTAACAAAGCTCTCTGTCCCAACCAGATACAGGTTCATGGTCATCGACAGACTTGGCACAGACCTGCAGAAGAAGTTTGAGGAATGCGGAAGGAGATTTCCCAGAAAGCTGGTCCTGCAGCTCGGCCTTCGACTGGTTGGTTTTGTCACGATGAAGTTGTTTCAGTCTGAAACACTTACGTTGTAAACAGCAGGTCATGACCAACATCCTGAGGATGAACGTTGTACGCAAACTGAAAATAACTGATGATGAGGGTCGAATAACAAGCAGTTTCATCCTCAGAGTTAGTGATGCACAGGGGAGGAAATGGATTTTCCCAAAGAGACACACAAGTGTATTTTCAGTTGTGTTAATGATTGTGGGTCAGAAGCATTCTCCTGCTCATCCTGGAATGATTGTTTCTGCTTGTAACGTGAGCTGAAACTGTAATCTGACACCGCTTTACGGAAACGCGAACGTCATCAGCAGATTTCCTGCACCTGTGCTTCCGATCGAAAATCCTTTGTTTGCATGAAAATCCCAACAATGAAGTAATTTGTTTACACAGTCCAGTAAGATTTGTCACAGTGACACTGGATAGACTGTGAAATAGTCATTTACTGTGACTCTCTTTCTTGTTGGAAATCCCACGCTTCTCTTATAGCAGCGCGTCTCCCCGTTCGCTCTAGTTCATTAAGATCTATGTGGAGGAGGTGAAACTTTGTTTCTGGTCAGACTCTCCTCTGTGCTCTGTGGTGCTCAGCCCGGCTACATCCCCTCTAAAAGAGACAAATGTTTATGTTCTGAAACTGAACGTAATGAATCGAGTTGCTAATAAAATCCTCGTAATGTGATCACAGGTTTGGCTTTACGTGGCTGCTGCTCAGTGAGGTGATGACGGGCTGAGCAGCAAACTGCACATTATATTTAAACCATGTAGTGTGATTACTTTGTACTAGGGTCTTGCTACATTACAGATGTGTCTGTACTCTGTATTTGATGGAGTATTTGTTCCTGTGCAGCTGGATACTCTGGAGTACATCCACGAGCACGAGTACGTGCACGCTGATGTGAAGGCGTCTAACCTCATGTTGAGTCACAGCGACCCCAACCAGGTCAGTTGGAGTTCCAGCGTGCTGACTGAAACTGTGACAGTTTACAAAGTGCCGCTGTGACCCGTGCATCGGCAGGAGGAGGAGCCTGGTTTTGGTCGGAACACACTCGCACCGCTTCATTAGATTCAATTAGGCTTTTGTGACGGGGGGAGGTGAAGCCAGAGTGTTCAGACGGGGGAGATTAGATGGCAGGAGCACAGAGCTGCAAATAAGGTGGGGGCAGGGGCAAATATTTAATTTGGAGATTAATAATGTATCATCGGTGGTGTTATTAAGGAGCTTTTTATAAATGACAATTTAGAAATCAGCCCCTCAGGATTTTAATATTGGCTCTGGTTGTTTTTCCTGCTCTTCCTCGGAGGTGGTGAATGTAGGTTTGCTTTTATTGCTCTACATTTCTTTATTAAAGCCACAGAGAATATAAGCACAATGCAAACTGAGGAATAATAAAGTGCTATGGAGCTGGAATTAGAATTGAAATCGTGTGTTCTCCTGTTTGTGTACAGTCAGCGAACACTGCTAAAACATGGAGTAGTACTGTGTGTATGTGTGTGCATGCCTGAATCTTTGTGTTTGTCAACTGTAGGTTTACTTGGTAGATTATGGACTGGCCTATAGGTACGCACCTGAAGGTCTGCCCAAGGAGTACAAGGAAGACCCCAAGAAATGTCACGATGGTACCATCGAGTTCACAAGCATCGACTGCCACAGAGGAGCATGTAGGTGCAAACGCACACGAGTAGTCATGACGCCCAACATGGTGTACAAAACCAGAGTGGTAATCTGAAAGAGTCAGCAGACTCTGATGTTTTTAACCATGAACAGGAAAATCAGTGTGAACGGACTTCAAACCATTTTAGTGAGGACGGTTTGGAACAGCTGGGCTGTTTCCTCCCCATTTAAACTGGGATTCAGTACACACCATAGAGTGTAGAGTGTGACACGGCCCCACGTTCGCCCAGAGACCGAAACAGTACCCATGTTTGTTTTGCTGTGCAGTCAGAGCACTTTAACACGGCAGTGTGCTGGACTGACTTACCTTTGGGGCCGCAGTCGTAGTACTGAGTGTGTTCAGCCACAGCGTTGTTGCTCCAGCTGAAGTTTGCCAAAGAACAACACTGATACTGATTGGTGTTCCTCATCTCGTACAACGTGGAAATAACCTGGATGCTATTATGTACATAAGTGTCTGATATTGCTAATGTTGCTACGTGCGCCATGTTTGCTAACAGCCGCGTCCAGGCGCAGCGACCTGGAGATCCTGTCCTACTGCATGGTTCAGTGGCTGTGTGGCCGGCTGCCCTGGGAGGACAAGTTGCAAGACCCGCTGTACGTCAGAGACGCCAAGATCCGGTATGTGAAACTCAGCACCCAGCCTGGGTGCTCCAGTCAGCAACACTTTGCCCTTTATACAATTCTACGTTTTATTTTTTACATTTTTGTTTTGTGTTGTACAGTTCACACTGATTGATGTGTATTACAGAAAGTTGTGTAACGTTTTCACCTCCAGGAGTCAAGAAAACATAAGCGAGTTCATGGCCAAGTGTTTCTCCTCTCAAGACAAACCAGGTGAGACAGACTCACAGCGGCGGCTCTGTGGCTGCGATGGACCAGCGCTGAGCTGGTCACACTGACGTGCCTCACCGTATTATTCATATACTGTACACTTGTACACTTGTCACATCATGAATACTAATGTTTTCATCTGGTTGTGAAAACCACAATGCCCTGCATAATCCCACAGTCTGAAACCGTGTGACCTCAAATCATATCAAGTTCATGATTAGTCGAACATTTTACCTTTCCATTATTTTAAGTGTTTAAGGAGTTGAAGTTGCCTTGGAGTTGTTGTCAGCTATGATCAGTACTGTTAGTGTTCTTTGATAAGGTTTGTGTGTTACAGCAGCATCATCAGTAAAGTGTGAGTTGATTCATTTCGTCCGTTCCTGGCTGCTCTCATGTGTTTCTAACATGATTCAATTCAATTTTATTTATATAGCGCCAAATCACAACATAAGTCGCCTCAAGGCGCTTCATAGATGCAGAGAAAAACCCAACAATCATATGACCCCCTATGAGCAGCACTTTGGCGACAGTGGGAAGGAAAAACTCCCTTTTAACAGGAAGAAACCTCCGGCAGAACCAGGCTCAGGGAGGGGCGGGGCCATCTGCTGTGATTGGTTGGGGTGAGAGAAGGAAGACAGGATAAAGACATGCTGTGGAAGAGAGACAGAGGTTAATAACAGATATGATTCAATGCAGAGAGGTCTGTTAACACATAGTGAGTGAGAAAGGTGACTGGAAAGGAAAAACTCAATGCATCATGGGAATCCCCCGGCAGCCTACGTCTATTGCAGCATAACTAAGGGAGGATTCAGGGTCACCTGGTCCAGCCCTAACTATATGCTTTAGCAAAAAGGAAAGTTTGAAGCCTAATCTTAAAAGTAGAGATAGTGTCTGTCTCCTGAATCCAAACTGGAAGCTGGTTCCACAGAAGAGGGGCCTGAAAACTGAAGGCTCTGCCTCCCATTCTACTTTTAAATACTCTAGGAACAACAAGTAGGCCTGCAGAGCGAGAGCGAAGTGCTCTAATAGGGTGATATGGTACTACAAGGTCATTAAGATAAGATGGGGCCTGATTATTTAAGACCTTGTATGTGAGGAGCAGGATTTTGAATTCTGGATTTAACAGGAAGCCAAAACAGGAGAAATCTGCTCTCTCTTTCTAGTCCCTGTCAGGACTCTTGCTGCAGCATTTTGGATCAGCTGAAGGCTTTTCAGGGAGTTTTTTGGACTCCTGATAATAATGAATTACAGTACGTCCAGCCTGGAAGTAATAAATGCATGAACTAGCTTTTAGCTCACATGTCTGAGAACAGAATCACCAATTACCAGAGTTTGACCCCCGGCGGGTGTGTCGCCGAGTGGGGAAAAACGGTTAGACACATGAACGGGTTGGTGGTGTACCTGGGGCTTCTGTTTAGGACTATGCTTCCTCCTCACCGTGACCCAGCCGCCCTCTTTCCCCAGCTGCTTGGGGTCTGCCGGGGAACAGCTAGCGGGGCCTACGCTATCTTCGGCTGCACCAGCTACAGGGGCCTGGCTAGCTACGGGTGAATGAAGGGTGCGAAGCCGAGTCTCCAATTCAGTAATCCTGGCCTCCAGAGCTGCAAATATGCTACATTTGTTACAGATATCATTACTGCTAAAGGAGGCCGAGGAGTAACTAAACATCTGACACAATGAGCAAGAAAGTGCAGGAGGGACAGGTGAAGTAGCCATGGTGCTAATGAGTCGGCTACGAGCTAAGCTAAGCTAGCGAGACAGTACAGAGACAGTGAGTGAATACTTTGGCTATAAATTAGGTAGTGAGTACACAGAAAGTGTGCTTCGGATGAAGCACGTGAAGATTATACTATGAAAGAAGAATGTATTTAAAAGTTGTTAATTAAATTGCTAAGCAAATAAGCTACTCAGAAACACCACTGTGTTTGAGCAGGAACAGGAAGTGATACTCTACCGCAGAGCGAGCGAACACCAAGTGACAGCGCCACTTGGTGTTCTGCCTTTGAGCAGTGACCACCTGACCTCTCACTGGGATAGAAGTACAGGCCACAAGCTGCGGCAGTAAACGGCAACATTTTTGCCCGACTGTGCTAAAAGTTGCCTTTTAATGTTGGTGCTTTGACCGGAAGGCAGTGTGTCGGTTCAGAGGAGACGTCGCACCTCCGTCCTTCTGCTGTGCTGAGCACGAGCAAACACGTTGACATCTGAATGCAACACACTATGGTGACAACAGTGTGGGGGGGGGAAGCTTGTGTTTAAGTTATGACTTTGTTTATGAAGTGTTTGATGAAAAGAACATGGATGACCTGATGGTCTCGAACGAGCAAGGTGTGAGAGTTCTGATGAACTGGCTTCTCCTTGTGTTGCAGATGAGATACAGCGGTTCATGGAGGAGGTGAAGTCTCTGGGCTACACAGCCAAACCACCCTACGACAAGCTGCGCTCTATCCTGCAGGCTGGACTGAAGACCATCGGTCCTAAAGAGGACGGCAAGCTGGAGTTCACCTCTGCCAGTGGAGCAGCGGCGCCTCCCACCAAGGTCAGCGCTCCGACTTGTTTCTAGAGGGAAGCGAGAAAAGGCAGTATTTGAGCTCGAGCCTGTGGGGGTGTACAACTCTGACTTACCGTCGAATTATTTTCCTCATTTAGTCGACTAAGAAATGAAGAACTGTCGCTTCATCATAATTATTTCTAACTTTGTTTGGTGATGACAGGAGCAACTGTCCCATGGTTTCAGACATCATTGTGTCCAGTTCACATCTATGAACTGTATAATATGTAGTTGTTGTGCATCCTCTGCATTAACTCATCCACCAGTTCACTTTGTTCTCGGTTAGTGTCCATCCTCCAGCTGTCCTTATGGTCGAAGGGTTAGTGTGTAGGCTCCTATAGATGACACATTTGATGTCCACTCCAGGGACTGCTCACAGTCCCCTCCCCCAACACCTCGGGGTCGCCTGTCTCTTCAGATTGTTGTGGTCATAGGGGCGTGTCCAGAATGAAGCGATGCCACATGGTTTGATGAAATGCCAAGTCTGGTATTATGGCCGATGCCACTCGGGCTCCGTGGTGCTGGGTAGTGATCACAAGGCCTGCTAGAGGATGTCGAGTCTTGATTGGTTTGTCAGAGACATTCACACCAGTAACCTTGTGGACGGCATCGTGTTCCTCCTCGCACAAAGAAACAGATGCTGTTCCTGCTGATGGGTTAGGGACCCCCCAGGGGGGTTATGGCTGTGCTGGGCGACACGGCAGACCTGGCCGTGGCTGGACTGGCTGTGAAACCTGGTATCTCCTCACGCTAGTGCTTTGGGAGTTGTCTCGTTGTTGCCCCTCTAGTGCACCTGGTGTTAATTTCATTAACACCAACGCAGCTGAACTGGAGTCATTA